ATTTAATTTCTTGGTTAACGGATTCGCCCGCTTCATTTTTTTTCTGATTTGCAAAAAAAAAAAAATTACAAAACTGCAAAATGCTCTGAACAGTTGAAAACAGTCATTTTCTTCCTAGTTGTTACAGTTATTTCATCTTTTAACGCAGTGGTATCATTAAACATTCAAAATTAGTTGTTTAAATTTTGAACCAGCCTGGTGTGTTGACCATTTTGGGTCATAATAGGATACCTAGGCCTGTTTTTTTTTAATTTTTTTTCGCCCGCCCACTCCATTATTTTTCTGGAAAAATCCGTTAACCAAGAAATTAAATTGGCGTGGCCTAATCTAGACATATCAATAAAGACAGTTTTTCTAGCATTTCCACATAGATTATGTAATTGAAGCCCTGATTTGAATAAGTTATGTTCAATAATGATCTTGAGTTATCCTCCCTAAAAGATTTTTGAAACAATTTCCTCTGCAGTTCCAGAACAAGCTGCTAGGGAGCCCAAACTCACATCATACCAGCTATCTCCCATGCAAAATGTTACAAGACAACCTAGAGTACACTCCTCAGTTGAGGCTTCATTAACATAAACATTCTGGCCTTGGTGCTGAATTCCTGACTTCTGCTAAAATATTTCTCTGCCTTCAAGGTCTCCATACATGTATGTATGAATGAATGAATGAATGAATTTCTATTTACGTGTCTTGGGACTTTTGTTGCCCATATGGGCTTATAAGATGAGAAAACATAAACATGGGTACAGAAATCATATAAACATAAAGTCTGAATCAAAAGGTCAGACTGGAAACATCAAATGAAACTAGAAAGGCCAATATTTGCTTTGGAGCAAATACAGCGATGGGTTCACCACATTTTACGACATGGCAGGGAAAGAATGAGAAACACAAGGGAAAACAATGATTTACATTGATATAACTATAATATGAAGTAACATACAACTAAAACAACAGTTGGATAGCTATTCTCTACTTTATTGGTTAGGATTTTTAATTGCATAATGCAAACTGTTGATTTTCAAAATAAAAAAAAAACGTTAACATGCCCCGCCATTCCAATGCTGGAGCAGAAAAGCTTGAAATACCTACCAAACACTTGAATAAAGACATACTGTCAGTATGGAAATGCTCTGTGCAGGTGTTAATCAAGTTAAATCCCAACAGCCAATCAGCAAGAAATGCTCTGTGCAGGTGGAAATGCTCTGTGCAGGTGTTAATCAAGTTAAATCCCAACAGCCAATCAGCAAGAAGTATAGAGGAAAGCTGCATGCCTATTGGTTGATGCCCTGCATTCCATTGTGATGACTCATGCCCAGACGTGGTAAACAAGGCACACTAACGACAGTAATACATTTGCTATAACACAGCCAAAAAACTCAAATAAAACCATTCTAAAAGCCTGTATCACAAAAATTTAAAAAACGCCTAGGGGTATTTGCCCACTTTTTGCCCACATACCAAATTTCAGGACCTTAGGCCCTAAAATGAAGAAGCTGAATCCATTTAAAAAATGGCAGGAGAAGAAGAAGAAGGAGAAGAAACATCAGAAAAAGCAATATGGGTTCACCACCACTTCGTGGTGTGGTGAACCCATAATTAAAGAACTTAATACAAAGTTGTACATAACATAATCGGTACATAAGGGTCAAAAGTGCACAAAGTCAACTCAAATTGTCAAAAGTACATATTAAATGCAACTCAGAAGTACATAAAGTCAAATGAACGTATAATGTGAACAAGTCCAGGAAAGAGAAAACCAGAGGAGAAAGTTATGAACAAATGAAGGTTTTACGTTTTTTCCAAGCTCAATAAATACATGCAATTTCAAAAACACACTCATTAAATAACCAGTTTACATGCAGTGTAGTTTTGTTTCATCTCTTTCTCAGATGATATTGGGTTTCTCTATGTATTTGGTAAATTTTGCCTAGATATCTGTTTTCATGCAGTGCCCTATTGAAGTCCACAGGGAAATGGGGTGAAAATCAATGAGCCAATTTTTTTTCAGATGTAACCCGACCATTCCTAGTCTGTCCCATCACCATCTAGTTTTCTCCAATTTTGCAACCAGTATGACTCTCGGGAACACCATGCAAGACCTCAGCTCACACTCTCCGTCATTATCTCAGTGAAAAATTCTCTGACCTTTCATTCTCGGGATGAATTTGACTTCCATGTTCAGTGATCCGACCCTAACAAATGTTGAGAGAAAATCAATCAGCGGCCGCTCAACTATTTATAACTACCAGGCTTGTCCGCGTGTCTAAGGTTAAGGGCATTTAGAGAAGCATAATCCCAAGTTGCTGAATACATACATGCACAATGTGCAACAGGCTTGATTAGTATTCTAGCTGTGTCTAGAGTTAATCAGGGATCCATTTTTCCCGTTGAGAGGTTGACATGAATGGGGTCTGTAGGGAGCAGTCAGCTGAAATATTCACTTCAGTAGATACGTGTGGGTAAGAACAATTACTACTCGGCAGGGATCGGTAATTGTTTACGCCCCACTGTGCAGGAAAGTCAAAACACTTTACTTGGATAAACAAGTAATAATCCTCTCTGAAGGCATTTTGGTTGGCTTAATGTATTGTTGGTAAAATTGTTGGTTGTTTTGTTGTTTGTTTGGTGTTTAGTTCATTGGTTATTTGGTATGTTTGTTGGTTAGTGGTTGGTTAGTTGGGTTAGTGGTTGGTTAGTTGGGTTAGTGGTTTGTTTGTTTGTTTGTTTGTTTGTTGGTTGGTTGGTTGGTTAGTTGGGTTAGTTGGTTGGTTGGTTGGTTGGTTGGTTGGTTGGTTGGTTGGTTGGTTGGTTGGTTGGTTGGTTGGTTGGTTTGTTGTTGGTTGTTTTGTTGTTTTGTTGGTTGGTTGGTTGGTTGGTTGGTTGGTTGGTTGGTTGGTTGGTTGGTTGGTTGGTTGGTGTTTGACTGGTTGGTCCAGTGCCTTGGTTGATACTGATTGTCCTTGCTAGCTGTCAGATGATTTGTTGGATAGTTTGCCGGTATTCGGTTGGTCAATGGAAGTACATTTGTACTCATTGAAAAAAGTATTTTGACTGGATGATGATAAACATTTTTTCTCTTTCCAGGCAAGCCTTGACAGTGTGAAAGTTCTACACTTTATTTGCTGACAAGTCCATTATGTTACAGTTCATGAAAATTTGCCCAGTCATTTTTGCTGCCAACAGTTTATTCATGCATGCATTAAATCTTTGTGGATTACAGCAGAAGTAATGGCTTTGGGTTGGTTTCTCCCGGAGTGATGAACATTCTAAATGCCTGTACCACAGCAGTCTGCGCAAACCCCATGCCTTCTTCTCAACCGATTAGTGAAGACACTGCCTCTTCCTTCCCAGTCATACTGGCTCCAACAGTTATGATAACGAATATAGAGGATAAACTTTTGGTAATCCTAGTAATTATGGAGACTCAGATGTATCTCGTTGCCATGGCAACAGTATAAGCGCCATACATCACACCACCGCTGTCAGTGACAGTTGATAAAGGGCAAACTTCAAAGTCATTCAATTGACTCGCAAGAACAGGTAAAAAAACAAGTACATGTAGATTAAAACTTGACATTCGTCTTCTGGGGGCCTAAGCTTTTCTATTGCACCTTAGTGTTAATTAAGTGCTCCTTGCATTTTTTTAAATCATTTATTTAAAATTTTACATACAAATACATGATGTGTTATGGCTTACCCCTTTTACATCAAAACATTTAGTTGGCGCATATTTTGTAATCTAAAACTTTCGTTTTGTACAGTGTATTCAAAGATGTAATATTTAGCTGTCAACATGGCTTTGTTAAAAAAAATGTCTGACGTCTGTCCATAAAGGATATTTGTGATTGTGTTTTGGCATTCCACCAAGTGGTAAACTTTCCAAAAAGATTTAACAATTTTACAATTTACAAATGCATGTGATATTGTTTGCTTCTCTGGACAAAAAGGACAAAGGTAGATCAGACTCCTTTACATTTATTTTCAGATTTCAATAGCAGTTTGTTGGTAGAAAACCATGAATAATTTTGTATTGAAAATATTGTATTTTTGTGTTGTTCGTACATTTATAGGGCATTGTATATACATTTTTTGTTCTCCTTGCATTTGCATGATTGTATGTTATTTTTAAAAGGATTTTTTCAGGAAGACTCAAAGCCAATTTCTTAATTTTGTATTTATAGGCTGGTGGAAGAAAGACTTGAACATAAGATTGCCTAACTTAGAGAAATCTTATGTTGTTTAATTAAATAGTGCATTAGTGGCTAAATCTACCTCAAGCATGGTATTAGACGGTTCTCAATGACACACTCAATGTCATAGACGCAGCAAGGTTCTGTATCTCTCTATGACCGGTATAACCGACTTTCGGCGTAACACACCAGCTTCGCAGGCACGTGGCGCGGCGGCAGCTAGCTATACACCGATCGACTTCTTACACCTAACCCTTGAACTTCTGACTCTAGACATTGTTTAAGGCTATCTAATGACCATGCCCCTACTGTACTTGGTGACAGTGAGTTCCACTCTGCGATAGTTCCAGGAAAGAATGAATTCTTGAACACCTCAATCCTTGGTTGATAACTCTGGTACTTGAAGGCATGGTCCATGAAATCTCACACAATAGATTTTACTTCTGAGAACTGTTTCACAACTGTAACCATTACTACTGTTACTATTAGTCTAAGAAGTACTAGTAATCAGTCCATGAGGGACCAATTATGAGAAAGTCCATGAGAAAGATGTAACGTTAATTAGAAACTTTGTGAAGATTCAGCCACCACTAAGATTAGTATTACTCTGATCAGAGAGCCTAGTTTGTACAATTAAGATTTTACACTCAATTCTGATAGCACTGGTGCTTTTAAGTTTTGGTCACTGAAAGCGAAAAGTTGTAACACCTAAAATCAAAGCAGAATAGCAGACACAGAGGTAAATTTCCTATCAAGGTGTTTTCAAAGGGTATGTAATAACATGTTTGTTTGTTTGTTTTACAGAGATCTGTTGGAGAGGCCCCCACTGAGAAAAAGTCAGTATCCTTCACCAGTATGCCCAGTGAAAAGACCATTGCCAATGCCTCAGATTGCCTCCAAATCATGCAAAATGGCACTGAACTCATCAAAATCCGCTCCAATGTTCGACAGTATCAGAGACTCTTTCTGTTGGACCAGGGCTCGGATGCGATACGATGGCAGCCGAGCAAAAAGGGGGACAAGGCAAGAATTCCCGTAGAATCCATCAAGGAGGTACGGCGAGGAAAACACACCGAGACTTTCCGTAATGTCGGTGTGCAGTACCCAGACGAGTGCTCGTTTTCTATTATCCACGGAAATGAGTTTGAGACGTTAGATCTTGTTGCATACACTCCAGATGAAGCCAACATCTGGATAACCGGACTCACATGCTTGATAAGTAAAGGAGACTCACGGGTAGGAGAAAACACAATAGAAGCAGCAGAGGAGGTGAAAGAGACATTAAGAGACACCTGGCTGAAGAAGTCTTTCCGGAGCCTTGATAAGTCAAACTCTGGCTTTCTGGAGTCGGACCAAATCATATCGTTGGCAATGCAACTGGACTGCGACATCAGCATTGCACGTGTCAAGCACAAGTTAAAGGAACTTAGCGTATCGAGGGGCGAGGACAACACCAATGCAAAACTGAAGGTGACAAGCTCAGAGTTTGTGGAACTGTTTAAAGAAGTGTCAACGAGGCCAGAGATTTACTTCTTGATGGTGAGATATGGATGCAGGGACTTTCTGACAGCAGGGGACTTGCACCTATTTCTAGAAGCCGAGCAAGGAATGTCCAACGTAACCAAAGAAAAATGTTTGAAAATCATAAGCACCTTTGAGCCTTCAGAGGAGGGGAGGGAAAGGGGACAAATCGGGATTGACGGTTTCACAAAATACCTCTTGTCATCCGAGTGTGACATCTTTGACGAAGAACACAGTAAGATACACCAGGATATGACCCATCCGTTGTCACACTACTACGTGTTTTCCTCCCACGACTCGTACCTGCTACCGGGCGTAGAATACGTGCCAAGCCTGAATGCGTACGCACGATTGCTCCAGAGGGGGTGTCGGTACGTGGAACTTGTCTGTTGGGACGGAGAGCACGGGGATGACGAGCCATTGGTTTGCCATCATCCGTCAGAAACAACGCGCCTACGCTTCAAATCGGTGGTGGAGATCATAGCACAGTATGCGTTTCAGGCTTCAGACTACCCACTAATCATTGGTAGGTACATTGTACATGTATACATCAATTGTTAGTTTAGGCCACACCAATTTAATTTGTTGTTTCTCAGGCTTTTTCAGAAAAAATATGAAGCGACAGGGCGAAAAAAGAAAAAAAAAAAACAGACCAAGACATCTCATGTTATCCGGAAATGTTACAATATGAGCCATGAAGTCAACATACCAAGCTGGTTTATAATTAAAAGAATAGATTTTGAACTTTTAATAATTTAATAACACAATTGCATTGTTACATTGAAAAACTTTAAGAACTAGGAAGAAGAGGACTTTCTTCAACCGTTGAGGCCAAGATATGTCTTTCATTGAGCATTTTGCAGTTAATTTAGAAACATTTTTTTTTTTGCAAATCAGAAAAAAAAAAGGACAGGGGGATCCGAGAAGCAACAAATTGGTGTGGCCTTATCACTTCACAATTCACACCATTTTTTTGGCTTTTATGTCTTTTTGCAATTCCTATTGTACACAATGAAGCATTGCCAATGCCTTTAGAACAATGTGCCATACTTCAATATCGTTCTGTATCATATGACCTTGAACAGGCATTACTTGACCTTTGCCCAGGTATTGACAACCACTGCTGTGAAGAGCAACAGATCAAAATTGTGAACTACATAGCAGCAACGTTTGGTGACATGCTTGTCAGGTCCATTGTGGAGGAGGGGGGTGTTCAGCTGCCATCCCCTTACGATCTGAGGAAAAAGGTGGGAGTTGCACATTTTAAATCATTTAATAGATTTGGTTAGAATGTATTGGCACTCATGTTTGTGACCCCTTATTTTCTCTTTCGTGTAGTACCTTTTTTTGCAAATCATTCTGCATCGTCCTACATGTATTGATACAATTTGACTGGTTTGTACTCTTGCCATTCTGCTTTTGGACCAAAAGGTTGGTAATTTATTTATTTCCGTTATTTTTACACAGGGTGGCCATTAAGTGATTGCACTTGTTTTCAATGGGGCCCTGTTTTACACAACAAAACACAACAGTTACATACAAACAATAAAATTAGGATACAATAAATAATGATAATGGCAATGGACATTAAGAAAAAACAGTAACTAACTAATAACATTTTTTTAAATAAAGAATGATTATAACAAAAAGTACAAATTACATCGATGAAGGTTAGACATCCAGGTAATACGATACGCCAAAAAGCAGTTCCTCAAGCGACAAGCAATTTTCAAAATCATATCCAGTTGCTTGAGTAACTGCTTTTTGGCGTAAAAGTACAAATTGTCCAAGGTTGGGTGTTTGAATCCCACAGTGACTACACTCGACAGCAATAAAAGTGCAATGGATCAATCCTTTTAAATCAAGGCCTCAGCAGTGATAAATTTTTGCTTTCTTTTGTCTTTATCTCTCCCAGGTGCTCGTCATGGGGAAGAAAAATGTCTTACCCATGACCTCTACTCAGAGTTCCTCATCTCTGTCCACGAATGACATGCAGAACGCCCTGTCAACAGTCAAGGTCAAAAGGGAAAAAGGTGAGTGAGTAAACATGACCTTCACATTGTAGAAGGTTAAACCAATGACAATAGGCTGCACCAATTTAATTTCTTGGTTAATGGATTTTTGTAGAAAAATAATGGGCAGGCGAAAAAATAAAAAATAAAAACAGGCCTATAGGCATCCTATTATGGCCCAAAATGGTACGATAGGAGCCATGAAGTCAACACACCAGGCTGGTTCAAAATTTAAACAATGAATTTTGAACTTTTAATGATATCACTGCATTGAAAGATGGAATAAGGTTACAGTGACAACTAGGAAGAAACAAGGACTGTTTTCAATTGTTCAGGGAAAAATATGAGCATCTTGCAGTTGATTCTGAATTTTTTTTTTTTTTTTTTTTTTTTTTGTCAAATCAGCAAAAAATGAAGCGGGCAAATCTGTTATCCAAGAAATTAAATTTGTGTGGCCTTATATACCTCTGTATAATGTCCTTGGCTAAACTGTATCCCCAGCAGTCGCTCAGATTTGAAAGACAATCCACTCAAGACACAGATGAGCTTCGTGCCAATCTGAATTGCAGTCACTGATCATTGAAATGAAAGACTACCCCATGGACCCCTTAAAACTCCTGCACGTCCAAAGCATGTCTTCCCTTAAAAGTTAAAGGACTTCTGATTTGCATTATTAGACCAGAGAAAGGTCAATCACTGGAACATAGTACATGTACATAGACCTCTCTAATTTTTATTGTGTTCTGTAGGGAGACCACCTCTGTGTAAGGAGCTAGCCGACCTGATTGTCCTGTGCAAGTCTGACAAGATAGAAGATCTGCCCACCTCAGCCTCCGAATCTTGTGCCCAGTATGTCTGCTCCTTCAGCCAATCAGGAGCCATCAGGCTGGCAGTCTCGTTCCCAGAGGAGTTTGTAAACTACAACAAGAAGTACATGAGTGAAGTGCATCCAGACAGTAACAAGGATGAGGATGCTATCAACTATAACCCCCAGGACTACTGGAACTGTGGCTGCCAGGTACATTTTGTGTCAGTTCTGTAAGGGCCAGTTCTGGTACATTTATTTGAAAAGTTCAGTCATAATCTCATGTCTTTAGTTATGTTTACCGAAGGAAAACATATCAATTGTTTTTGCTCCATTTCTTCCTCTTCTTCTTCTCCAAACAGTGACCTATGACCCGACCAATGACATGATTTGTTAATGTCTGTCACTATTGTGACTGGTGTTGGGTTACATAATATTGCAATTTCATGGTCTGCTCTGCTTCTGTCACCAAGTACATGTACTAGTAGTACATGTATGTGAATGTGTTTGAGTAAGAGTTAACAGAGCAGACCATGTCCGAAGGTAAACATTATGCATTTGCTTTAATTTATTTAATTGCTAAATGTTACTCCTCTAGTTATTATGTGCCCACATCAGTTTTAATGATAATTAGGCCTCTTGGCTTAGCTATAACAGTTAGCTTATGCAGTTGCTGAGTCCGAGAAGGGGATTTTACAAAATGTAGTTTTGTCATGTCATCTTTCCTTGGTGCTGAAATGCCATCTATCAGATTTAGTCAGTATTGCAAGTGAATGTATCATTGTACATTGTGTATGAAAAGAATACTAATGGAAACATTAGTACCGTAACAACTAATCAATGTTATCAGTTGCATAATGGTCCTTTTTAGAAATATTGTTGCAATATTTAAAATGAACTCTCTGTTTCCTCTCTTTTCAGATTGTAACAGTTAATTATCATATGCCAGGGCTGATGACAGACCTGAATGATGGACGCTTTCTAGAGAACGGAGGCTGTGGCTACGTCCTGAAACCTTCCATCATGAGGGATGAGATAGCATACTTCAGCGCCAACACCCGCGAGGGTCTGCCGGGCGTCACGCCGCAGATTCTCCACGTCAGGATCATCAGCGGGCAGCAGTTCCCCAAACCTCGCGGCTCCACGGCGAAAGGCGACATCATCGATCCGTACATCGTGCTGGAGATTTTTGGAATTCCCGCGGACTGCGTAGAAGCAAGGACTAGAGCTGTTCCACAGAACGGCTATAATCCTGTGTTCGACGAAAGTTTCGAATTTCAGATCAATTTCCCAGAAGTGGCTTTGGTTAGATTCGTGGTCTTGGACGAAGAATTCATTGGAGACGACTTCATTGGACAGTGCACTATTCCATTTGAATGCTTGCAAACAGGTAATTTAGTTTGGCTGGTGGTTTCGTGGACTAGATATTTTAAGCTCAAACTCCAAACCCTTTATTTACACTCATTATCACCATTGTTACTTGAACATACAGTAGCAGTTTAGATGGGAACTTCACTTGATTCTATCCTGTTTCTTTTAATGTTAAGAGTCTGACACATTTGAATGATATCCAACACAGGCAAACAAACAGAACTGATGAGGAATGAGTTGTTTCCAGCTCCAGCTAGGCTGTGTTTGAGCGCACTCTAGCAGTTAAAAGGGGAACTGCATCAAGGCTTGACGTCAGTTTTGTTTCTTTCAGGCTACCGACACATTCGACTGATGTCCAGCACGGGAGACCAACTGGAAAGTGCCACTCTGTTTGTCCACATAGCCATAACGAACAAGAGAGGAGGAGGAAAACCTACCAAAAGGGGCCTTTCGGTGAAGAAGTCTAAGAAGCGTCAGGAGTACACGTCTTTAAGGAATGTGGGGGTCAGAATCATCGATGACTGCTTTAAGGTTACTTCCTGTTTATTTCTCTTGGACATATCTAGTTGCTATGAAACTGATTCACCTTGGTAATCAACTATTTTGAAATCTGTAACAACAATTAATGCTATTACAGTGCCTCACATGAAAATTTTGTTTCCCTGTATCTAAATGAAAACTTGTATTAGATTAACAGCGAGCAGGTTGGACTGAGCAGAGCACTTTGGACTAGTGGCTCTAGCTATTTACTACTAAAACCTACTCATCTTATATTTTGTGGAAAGATTCTCTGTCACCCAATGGATCATAATACCCCCCCCCCCCGGTGAGACCCTTCATGCTTCATTGAACATTAAAAAATCTCAAAATAAATCTCAAGATTTTTTTTAATCTCCAATTTTTCCAAATTTTTGAGATTTTTTTATAGTTACTTGAAAAGTTTTCCCTTTTTTTCTCAGGGTGCAACACCACCGCTTCAAGAAGCAGCCAAACTACGAGAGAATGTCCAGGTTGCCATGACTACATTCAAGGAATCCTGCGGTGTCCCCCAGATTTCTACGCTTATGCAGTGTGTGCGTACGCTCATCTCCCGGTTCACAGCGACCGGGGATGTCTCCATAGTCTTGAAAGGAGACGGACAGTTCCCTATCCTGGAGGCCTCTGGGAATGCTCCGGAAGTCCTGAAGAAAGCTTTGTCAGCCTTTGATGTTGTATGTTGATTTCCCTTGTCAATTGTTTGTTCGAAAAATTGTTTAGAGGATGGAACAGTTTTCTTAGAAAATGAACACAACTTGCATTATGGTTTGTTATTATTGTTGATAAACAATTTATGCCAAATGTATAGCATCATGAACTTAAAGATTATGTGAGGTAAGGTTAGGATTTGACCTATAGATTATCTTTCCTGTTGTTGTTTGTGTTGACAGGTGGTATGTTGTTTGTGTTGACAGGTGGTATGTTGTTTGTGTTGACAGGTGGTATGTTGTTTGTGTTGACAGGTGGTATGTTGTTTGTGTTGATAGGTGGTATGTTGTTTGTGTTGGCAGGTGGGATGTTGTTTGTGTTGACAGGTGGTATGTTGTTTGTGTTGACAGGTGGGATGTTGTTTGTTTTGACAGGTGGGATGTTGTTTGTGTTGACAGGTGGTCTGTTGTTTGTGTTGACAGGTGGTATCCACGGGATGTTCCTTGGTTGACAAGGCTGACAGTCTCCGACAAGAGATGCTGGACAGGAGAAAAGCAGGTCAGAGGTCAAACTGCATGTCGATCCTTGAGCTGGACTCTTTTTTTAATATTGCGAGCCCTATGTTAACTTTGCACTTTTGACTGAGTGTACTGTAGAGACTTGTATATTCCTTGTACAGCTTGTACAGCTGACAGTGTACATAATTAGTACTCTTCATGTATCTCTTTTGGAAAATCAATTTGTAAAGGTATCGAATTTTTAGTTTGTAAATCAGTGAAAAGGTGTGAGGACTTTGGTAATATTTTCCTATTATGACTCTCTCCCTGCTTCCTAACCAAAGAACTTATAATAGTATAATTACAAATTTGTGTCTTAAGGTATCCATGGCCAGTGCTTGGGGCTTGGAAACCCGATTTTTCCAAGCCAATATTCTAGCCATTTATCTGCATACTGAGTTGAAACCACACTATCCCAATGTATATTGATCATCATGGAGCAAAAATACCCAAAATTGTGACGGAAATGGTTACTGAAAGGGCCCTTGGCTGATTTTTAGGGTACCACCCAGAAAATAAAGGATCATTCATCTTGGGGCTCATTTCTGCAGTTTTAAAAGCCCAAAGTATGAAATGCTGACTCAAATGTGCTAATGTGAATCAGAATGTGTCAATATTACAGATTGCCTTATTCAGGATATTTCCAGTTTTGCTGCCCCGAAATCGCATTGGATGCCTTTAAGGCTATCTCAACTTGCAGAAGGCTGAAGCTGTTGTTTTGTACCCTACATGTAAATGTAGGTCTAGAGTTCCATGAGAAGCTACAGGAGCTGAGTTCCAAGGAGGGTCTGAAGGGTCGGAAGTTGACTCGAGCTCTTGAGAACTTCGCATGGAACATCCGAGTTCTTCAAGGTCAGGCCGACCTTATCCAAGCTGCCAAAAACGAATGTCTGGACAACATGAAGCAAGTGCAAGAAACTGCTGTGGCAACAGGTGTCATAGTAGAGACCAAGTCAGAAACGAAACCAACTTAGGCTGGATTGCAGTTTAAGGAAGAAGTCAATAGTGTAACATACACCTGTATTTGACACAAGAAACTGAAGAAAGCTGCTGTTTTTAATTCCCAAGCAGATGTATGGCTTTAGCCTGTTTATCAGTACAATGTCATTTTTTTCTTGTTTTGTGTTTTCTAAGTAGTGAATTTTACTTAATCACCTTGCCATACAGACAATATACAAAATGCAACTTTTAATGCTACTTAAAGTGCTTCATGCTTGAAATCACAAAATGGACCAAATCCACCCAAGAAAAAGGCTTTACCAATAATATTCTCATGATTCCAATGTGTCATCATAATGATAGCACTTTTTTACCTGCTCCCTACTACCTAACCCTGCAACCAATAGAGAACTGATTTTATTGGCTTCTTCTGGGCCAGTATGCTAAAGGTTTCGTTGGCTACTTTTCAATCAGTATGCTAGTGCTAAAGGTTTCATTGGCTACTTCTGAACCAGTATGCTAAAGGTTTCATTGGCTACTTCTGAATCAGTATGCTAAAGGTTTCATTGGCTACTTCTGAATCAGTATGCTAAAGGTTTCATTGGCTACTTCTGAACCAGTATGCTAAAGGTTTCATTGCCTACTTCTGAATCAGTATGCTAAAGGTTTCACTGGCTACATGTACTTCTTAATCAGTATGCTAAAGGTTTCATTGGCTACTTCTGAACCAGTATGCTAAAGGTTTCAATGGCTACTTCTGAATCAGTATGCTAAAGGTTTCATTGGCTACTTCTGAATCAGTATGCTAAAGGTTTCATTGCCTACTTCTGAATCAGTATGCTAAAGGTTTCATTGGCTACTTCTGAGTTAGTATGCTAAAGGTTTCATTGGCTACTTCTGAACCAGTATGTTAAAGGTTTCATTGGCTTTTTTTGAATCAGTAAGCTAAAGGTTTCACTAGCTACTTCTGAGTCAGTATGCTAAAGGTTTCATTAATTGGCAACTTCTGAATCAGTATAATGCTAAAGGTTCCATTGGCTGCTTCTGAACCAGTATGCTAAAGGTTTCATTTGCAACTTCTGAATCAGTATGCTAAAGGTTTCATTGGCTACTTCTGAACCAGTATGCTAAAGGTTCCATTGGTTACTTCTGAACCAGTATGCTAAAGGTTTCATTGGCTACTTCTGAACCAGTATGCTAAAGGTTCCATTGGTTACTTCTGAACCAGTATGCTAAAGGTTCCATTGGTTACTTCTGAACCAGTATGCTAAAGGTTTCATTGGCTACTTCTGAATCAGTATGCTAAAGGTTTCATTGACTATTTCTGAATCAGCTAAAGGTTAAAGGGATATCCCCACCTTTAAGTTAATGAATTTTTCATGCATCTCAGTGTCCAGTAAAGAAAATGCTACGATTGAAAGACATGCAAAATGAGCAGAAAGATGCATAAGAAAAAGCCATTCATCTGCTTGGGGATTAGTTGTTTTAATGTGACATGATAAGAAATCATAAAGACTCACTGCAAAAACTGGCTAGTATAGATATGTAAAAAAAAGTTGAAAAGTTCTATGATGTACATGTTCTATACAGATCCCACACAATATATTGCATATTTTGCCTCCCCACAAAATACTTAAATAGATGACTGTTGTACGTTCACTGAAGTAAGTAAGTATTCAGGGTTTGTTTGGTATGTCATATGAAAGATATGGTAGAGACTATATGAAATTGTCAGACATATAGAATTATGATGCTTTTAAAAGACTGGCCTTAGTTAGAAATAGAAGCTTCCATTTGTAGTATACATGTACATGTATATTCTTGTCCGCCTTGTTCTCGTAAAATGTCAACATTCAAAACTTATAAAAAGTGAATTTTGTAGCCTAAAAATAATCAGACTATGAACCAGTTTGGAGTCACCAGTAGCATGCCAAAAGTTAACTTTGTTGTGTTTTCTGTAGCCATTGTTTGTGTTGATGTCAGAATATCAGAAAACTATGTGTTCCTACCTCAAGTATTAACGTTTGAACAAAACAATTCTAGGGAAATACAATGTAGAGTCTGCCCACTGTACCATGTGCCAATATATTAAAAGTTTTAAAAAATTGGGCAAAACAGAAAAATTGTGTAATTTCAGGTAGGATGTAAATAGACAATTATGATACTAGCAAATTTGCAAAAGTGCACCCAAATAGTTGTTTGCGAAAGACGATAATAATCACATGACTTTGTGCATATGTTTTTGAAATGATGAATTTGAACTGCAAGAAGAAAGAAGATATTGTTTTGCTGTTTGACACAGAAGAGCGAGATACTCACATGTATGATGCAAAAGATCTTTAAATACAGTGGAAGGTTTGAAGCATAATTTTGTGTGTTCGTTGTAGTTGAAACAAAAGAAGACAACTTACTCTGAAGAACCTTTTAGGAAAAAGACTGTTGATGTGCAATATACTGAATAGAGTGACTGGGCAACTTTGATATTGGGCATTATGAGGATCCGAATGAATCAGTGTGTTCAACATGGTTAGTAATATCATGTTTTAGTACATTTGGTAAATTTGTTAGCAGGTTTTAAAGTTATTATTGACAAGTACCCGGTAAGACACTATCTGGAGTAAACATTTATATATAACCTTGTGTTCTTATATGTGGATTGTTGCAAATATGCGTACTTTAGATTTATGTATAGCAGTAAAAACTGAGTGACAAATTTGTGGAAATATGACAAAACTGCTCTGTTTTATATGGGATGCTAGAAAGTAATATGTTCCTTGTCATGAGTAATGTTACTGTTGTTTTTTTGTCAACTCAGGTGTTAGAGTTTTTCCATTATAGCTAATATATTAAAGTGATAACAGTGAATGTACCTCATTTAGTTTTGTCAAACGAAGGAGGTTATTGGCAAACAAATGTACTAGTGGCTACTTGTCACTCCAGCTTTAATTATAGGATTTCGGCAAAAGTTGGTTGGATTATAGCTAAGAGCTAGAGATGAACATAGAAAACATTACAGTATTTTCCGTTTTACTCACAAAACATTTCATTTTGCCATATTGCTTTTAAGTCGTTTTAAGACTGCTAAAAAAGCAAAAACTGTGTTAAACTTAAAATCTAGTTTCACAAATCAGCATGAATATAACATAAAGTAAACCTGCCATTGAAAAGCCACCAGTATGAGTTATCTTGGTCACAAATCAACTAAACCTGACAAAACATGACCTCAGTTATGCATGTCAGTTGCAAAGGTTAACAGTTGATTTGCGGGATATTCAGGCCACACCAATGTAATTTCTTGGTTAACGGATTTGCAAAAAAAAAAATTCAGAATCAACTGCAAAATGCTCATATTTTGCCCTGAACAGTTGAAAACAGTTATTTCATCTTTCAATGCAATGGTATCATTAAAAGTTCAAAATTCGTTGTTTAAACTTTGAACCAGCCTGGTGTGTTGACTTCATGGCTCCTATCTACCATTTTTGGCCATAATAGGATGCCTAGGCCTGTTTTTGTTTATTTTTATTTTTCGCCCGCCCGCTCCATTATTTTTTATAGAAAAATCCGTTAACCAAGAAATTAAATTGGTGTGGCCTCAGTATGAATATCAAAGTTCTTTATTCCAAACCACTTATTTGACAAGAGCTGACATTTTGATGACGTTGGCTACTGTTAAACAAGTGGTTGTGAATAAACAATTTTGCTATTCAATCATTCAATAAAGCTAAGTGTGTTATGCTGATCGGCTATACTGATACAGATACAGATTTACCAACCTGATGACATTATTCACTGATGACATTTAGTAGATACAATGTTGCATTCTAACTTATTGTTATCTGTACTTAACCAGAACTTAACCAGATGTCTTTTAATGGAGTCAGTTAGTGAAGAAAATTTGTTGTCGTGTGATATACATGATTTTTCCTTAATGTTTGTGCCAAAGTTTGTATTATTTGTGCTTATTGTTCAGGTTCATAATTTATTTTCTGTTGTTTACGATGACATCAAACTATCAAATGATACTCTGGCTAATGATGAGTTATTATATTTATTTATACATGTAATCAATAGAAAAATTAATCAAACCTCTATTTACTGAATGAGTTACATAAGATTTAGGTCTATTTTTTAGCCCCTAAAGCAGTCGAGAACTAATCCAAAAGTTTTCTCCTATGAGGCCTAGTATTCACCATCTAGATAAATTTTTCAGCTTCAAGAGTGTACAACCAGAATGTCAGTAGAGGTTTGCCATATATTAACTGTTCGAGATTTTTTCGAGAGGTTATCTGGCAAGAGAAGGTTGGTTAGGCCCTAACATGTATGTTCTCTGATATCCCTTACATGTAACGTTATGTTATGACAAGTCAACCAGCACGTCGACAGAACGTACTGTGCCTACGCAGAACCCTGGATTTTCGCGTTTTTCGTTGGATTTTTGGGCAATGTTGCATCAGAATTTTGGCTGTTGCAGACGATATCTTTTTCGACATAACATTTGAAAACTACTGTAGGAATGGTAACCTTTATATATATATGAGCAAATACAACCTTATATAAGACGTCCTGCTGAAGTGCTTTGTACAATACATTACGGGTTTTGCACAGGTGCAGTACGTTCTGCCAACAATTTTTGCTAAGTCATGATCAACCTATATTCGGACAACCCTGTATGCCAGAGTGTATGGGTATCTGAACATAGGTGTCAGAACATACATTGTGCCATCTACATGTACCTGTATATGATTGTACATGTACATGTACAAATGTCATGTACATGTAGGGCTACATGTATCTCTATCAGTTTCACCCGAGTTGGTCTACTATTTTGCAGCAGTTCCTTCCCATCCAAAAACAATGAGAGACTGGCCATGGTAGAAGTTTTACTGAGACCCAGATTACATTGTATGGTATAGACTGATTGATGAGAATTCTGGAGCTTGAACCATAGAATCTACAGTAACAGTTGTCTTTCTTTTAACTTAAGCCCTGTACATGCAGAGATGTCTCAGCTGAAGTCTTGACAATAAACTTGTTTCTGAACCTTGCTTACTTTTGATACTTTTACTGATTACTTTTGATTACTTACGATATTGGTTGGTGACTTTATATCAACAGATTATACATACTAGATAATACAGTATGGGCAAATGCAGAACAAGCTGCTAGGGGGTCCAAACTCATGTCTGTTCTTCACTAGCCCAAAGCTACATGTATCTACCACCCAAAATTTGTGACCCTAGCATGTCCAGATCGCGAGATATTAAAACTGGAAGTTCTGCAGCAGTACCAACAAAGTAGACAAACAAAGGAGAGGACAGTTTTTAGACCTTATCAAATTAGGTGATGTTATTAGATGTCTGACGCCTGCGTCACCCCTTATGTTGTGTGATTGAGATGGCCACACCCCTTCGTGTAGTTAACATTTTTTCAATTCCCAAGGGAAAGCCTAGAGCTATGATCAATTACGATATTTTGCATTTTACTTGAGATAAGGTTAATATTCACCTGAATTCTGTATCTGTATCAGTATAGCCGGTATGGCCGCCTTTCGGCGTAACACACCAGCTTCGCAGGCACGCGGCACGGCGGCAGCTGGCT